TGAAACATGCGTTCCACATCTGTCTTCGAACACTGGAACGTATTCAAATTGCCCACAAAAATGCGCGAATTCACCGCCTGCGGATCCTGCGAGTTCGTCTGATTGGACAACTTTGACATCTTCATTGTGTCGGCGATATTGAGAAAATGTGACGCCGTATGCTTATAGAAGCTGTTGGGGCTGCTGGCCGCACTGCTGCTTACGCTGTTGTTAGCCGTGATGGCGGTTATTTTGGAAGCGTATGACGGTGACTCGGTATCGCAATGTGCGCTATGCGGAGAGTGGATGTGTGAGTGCGGCGAGTAGAGATGTGTCGCAGGCGATGGCAGAAGTACAACCTTCGATGGCGTTTGCTTTAGCAGCGGATGAGAAGCGGTGGCGGCGGCGGCGGCGGCGGCAGCGGCGTGTAGATGAGCCGACAACTGCTGATGTTGCTGCTGCTGCTGCTGCTGGTGGTGCTGTTGCGAATGCAGATGCTGTGGAAGGTGGTGATTGTGCTCAGGGCACGTCGGCGTAAAATATAAAAACGCAATGATGGAAATTTAATAGAAAAACCGGTGCTGATGAAAAAAGGAATTGTCGGAATGCGAAGTATGCGCGTCACAAGTGGATGGGTGGTTGTGTGACGCAGCTGTGTAGCTACTGCCACTGTCGTGCTTACGAAATACCAACGCCACTGATGGATTTATTTCTGGAATTTCAACTTATCCAGCCGTTGCTCTTTTTCGCCGCCCACTCGTCAGCCGCAGGATTATTTCAATAAAGCGCCTTAGCCGACGAGACCTTGGTCGTTGTGTGTGGATTTGGGCGTGCGTTACATAAAATTGCACTTTACTTGTTTATGTGTGTGTGTGTGTGTATATAGTATTTTTTAGGCGGAGTTGTTTATTCTTTGTCGGCTTTCTGCTCAAACGCCCAGGATTAGGCTCGAGTACGTGCTTGTGTGTGCTCGTTTGTTTGCACAAATGATTTGCTTCGTATAATTTTTTTTTCGCCGTTCTTTGGTACTCGTATTTTGGATTGTGGCTGATTGCGGGTTAGCTCATAGTTTGCTCGTTTGCATTGTCCAGCGGAAAAGCGGCCAACGCATACACACAATTGAAATGATGTTGTTGTTGTTGTTGCTGGTGGTTACGTCGACTTAACGTTGCTGTTGCTGTTACTGATGCTGTTGTTGTTGATGGCGTAACCGCAGTTATTGATAACAATCGGCGCACAAAAACCGTACACAATGGATTAAAAAATCTGCAAAAAAAAACAGTGAATGAAAAGAGATGAAGCAAAGTTATAAATGGCGAAAAAAATCATTTAAATCGAGAATATGGATAAAAATGGTCCAACAAGAAAATGTAAATAAGTCCATCATATAACAACAAGTTGTACTATTGTTCGAGCGAGGCGAGGGAGAGATTAACGTTAGTATTATACTATTTGTATGAGTGTGCGTGCTTGTGTTTTTTTATGCGCCTAAAAGCACACACACACACACATTCACATGCTTACGAGTATATCCTCGCTCGGCGGTTATAATTGATTTTTCGTATTAAAATTCGATTTTCGGTATTAAAAATACACAACACGAAGTGCACTGAAATTCAATTAATTTAAGTAGCTTAAATTTTGATTGATTCTTTTTATTAAGTGCGGATATTTTTTATTTTTATTTTTAATGCATGCGAGATTGGAAAAAAGTAATCTTTAAAGAACCGCATTTGCATAGTTTGAGTGCACTTATTTTCTCGAACTCAGCTGGGAGGTATTTGTTCGCAATATATGAGGTAAGCAGTATGGGTGTACACACCCGTCATATAAAGCCACAGTGGTGCCAATCTGGAATTTACTGCTCTAATTAGTCCAGAGTCTTCATTTTACAACCAACTTTATTCATTTAAGTGAAAACCGATGGGATTTAAAAGAGACTTGTTGAGCCCGATTTTTTAATTTTTATTTGTTTATATGAAATTTTTAAGCGCAAAGTGCAGAGAGGGTAGCAATTGTGAAGAAAATCGGATTTTCTGGTTTCGTTAAAGAATGTTATATAACAAAATCTAGTTTAAAAAAATTAAAATGTTGCTCTAAAAAGAACAAAAAATTGCAAGGAAATTTTTTAAATTTAATACATAAACAAATTTCACCAATTTTTTTTTTTAGGAAAAGGTATGCAGTAATACAGCCTATTAAATTTATATAAGTACAGAAAAGTGCTGTTTTTTTAAATAAAAAAATAGTAATTTTGCTGACATTTTTTTTTATAGCAATTCAAATATTTCTTCTGTCATTTTTTTCGTTTTGGGGGCACCCTATAACTATTTTTAACTAGTTTTTACTATGCAACATTGCTTAGCAGGAATCGGAGAATTGATTCTCTTCAAATTGCTACTTTCTCTTCAATTGCTACTTTTTATATAAAAAAATTAAAACTTCAAAATCGGCCTTGAAAACCCTTTTTTAATCTGATCAGTAAGTAAGTAAGTAAGTAAGTAAGTAAGAGTAGTAAGTTTCAGTTGGCCACCACTGTCAGGCGGCGACGGCAGGCAAAAGCAATACCGCTCGTGTCCGCGCTACGAATACTGACCCCTGTCAATGCATTCAGCTCACCTATCCCTTACAACGTATGAAGTTGCCGAAGTGGACGAGTAAGAGTAACCAGCGAGACAATTATACTATTGGGTAATGTGCATCCCAAACTTATTAGATCATTTTACGAGGATTGCCTTTCAACAGCGACTTTATCCAGGAGTTGTAAATATATGTATATGTTTGTGTATGAGAGTCTGATAAAGGGACTTCCAGGTAGGCATTTCTATAGCTCTTTCAACGAAGGAAAATTTGGGGTGTGCCATTTATATCTACTCATTTATTCGCTTTCCAAATTCCAGAGTTTATCACTTGGGGAACTGGTCGCATTGAAGCTGAATTTATCTTTCTACAAAACCACGCAAGAGCTCATCATCTGCTCAGCCTATATGATGTGCTTCTGCAAGATTCTCTGAAAAGAGGGAAACGTAAGGTAAATGATTTAAGCAACATTGCCCTAGTGGCGTCTTCAACCACTATTAACTCCCACTATGAATCCTGTTCAGAAGCTCAACCACATATATGCATACATATATTCTGTAGCAAATAAGACTTCTTTCAAAATTCAAAACTCTTTAAGATATTTCTCAACCTTAAATTGCCTCTGTTCAGCCCATTATGTACAATTTACTAAGAAGATTGTCATTCATTGTTGGACAGACAACTCTTATCTTAAACCGACTACTTTTCCAGCAATCCTTTTGAAAGCGCTTCACTCCCTTTCAGCGCGCATTCTCCTCGACCCCTTCGCACTTCGCTTTGTATGTGTGTTTGTGTGTGTGTATTTGTATTTGTATGTATGTGTGCCTTAATGAAAATGGAAATCTAAATAAAGCAAACACCAGAAACACAACAAAGCATTCATTACAAGGACAATGGAACAAACAGCTCACTGTCACTCAGTCAACCATGCAACCATGCAACCAACCACCCACACTGGCGTGCAGACTATTGAGGCATAGTAGCGACGAAGAAGAATAGGAGACATTTTAGCTGGAAATGCAGTTGCGATGGCAGTCAATGCGCAGACAGCCATTGAAGCATTGAGTCATTCATTTAGTCATTTATACAGAAATGCGCTCACTTTTATACATTTACATATACATACATACATACATACATATGTACTTGTGCTATTCATGCATTCAAGCGGTGTGTGTTTGTTTATTCAGGCGAATTTATTGTCATAAATATTTTTCATTTCCGAAACAACGCGCAAACAATGCCTTGCCATAGCGCAACTTTGCCGCTTCGAAGAGTCTTATGAACGGGTAAATATATAAATGCTAACCATACACTCACTTATGTACGCCTGAGTGTGTGCATAGTTATTTTAAAAAAAAATATCTTTACAGCACCCGTACATAAAGGAACTATTATTACTTATTTCTTTTATTTTAAATTAAATACTTCATTTACTTCTCATGAAATCTCTCATCCGATTTCTCTTGTCCTTATTTTGTGCCTACTCTTGCAAACGCAATCAACACGTCACTATTATGACACATGTGTTGCATGCAACATGCATGCATTTCCTTCGTTAACATAGATACATATTTTACATTCTCATACATGCATATGTATGTTTATGCAGGTGCATGACCAGCTGAATTTTTACCGTCGCCGGTAACACCTTTCGTCAATTCATTTGTTTAATAGTTTGCCATTTCCAACTGACATACTTTTTTTTTTTAATCCAGCTATTCATTTCATACGTCGTTAGTGTCGCATATCTGACAGTTATTTATTTTATTGTTAGTCATAAAGTCATAATGCTACTTATTATGGGTGAAATATCTGAGGACATATGACAATGAGACATGCATAAGTTGAGATGAGGTGACTTCGAACAATACAAAGGCGCAAAAAGGAGCTTTTGGTTTTTCATTTCAATTTTTTTTGCTGAATGCAAATGTGTAGTTCTCAGATGGTTTTTAAAACAAATATTATATCAACAGTGTGTGAGAGCAACTAAAAAACCTTAGCACACAACGCTTTATATCTTTACACTTATTTATCAAAGGTAATTTTGTGCTAACACGCGATATATCCCTTAATATTTCATCGAACTCAATGTTTGGGACTTCATCTTAATGAGAGCGCAAAAATAGTCACGTTTATCAAATTTAATCATTTCTGAAAAAAGTGTCTATAAATAATAAGCCAAGCGCAATATACTCGTCAATCCGGCTTCATAACTTCCACAGTAATCCATAAAATTTAATTAGTGAAACACCATTTTGGAGATTCCTTTCCTCGCTCTAGATGAAAATACAATAGGGTTGCCATATATTTACATTTTATTGCATTAAATATGTCGTCGCCCCAATGAAGAAACAGTGTAAATGCCACATACACTATTATTCGGTAATTGCACCATTGGATAGACAATCCTTTAATCTTTTAGAAAAATCTTTAGTTTTCTTAAATATCTCTTTGGCTCACTAATTTATTCCCGAAAACTGAAATTGTATTCGTATGGTTTGTAATGGTTTATAAAAACTTCCAATTCGCTTTTCTCAAAACTATACTTTTCATGTTACACTATTTTTTATATTCCAGCGACGATGTGTATATCCTTAGTAAAATATTCCAACGCTTTTAGGGAATCAAAGGCATTCAAATGTACTTTTATCCAATCAAAATTTAAATCTCTGTACCTATATATAAAACAAAGTTTTTTCATTTAACTTCGCGTTTACATTAGACAATGCTGTCAAGAAAATAAACAAGTACGTTTCAGTTGGAAAAAATGCTGATAATTGTCTCCGTGGCATAGCTGTCCTGACAGCGCCTCCTCAGTTATTATATTTCTTTTGTTAAGAGTCTCTCTTCTTTGTTGCACAAGGCGCCAATATACGACAAATCACTGTCCGATTGACTGTCTTCAAAATATTCAAGACAGTGATTGAGACATTTAAAGAAGTGTGCATATATTGCTATCGCAATTACAGTTTTTCAGTTGTAAATCCTAAGTAAGACCGAGCATCGCTCCAAAACGGAGCGTCCTATTGTGATACATTTTTTGTTGTGTTTGTCTCTACCCAAGGAAACTTTTTAACTTTTTAACAAAATTGCTGAAAAGTATAAATTTCCTGGAAAAATGGATTTTCAATAGATTTTGTATAGGAAATTTTTGATTTTCTTAAATTTTTTACTTCCATAATTCTGAGCTTTATTTTAAAACCATGGACCATATGGCAACTTAGTCCGGCCTCTATAAATTATAAGGCGTGTTGGCAAACATTTTAGTAAGAAAGAACCGCCGCTAGAATCAAGCAAACTATTATTGCCACACGTTAAGATAAGGAGGCACTTTTCACTAGTTGTCTGCTTTTCAAGAGCGGGTGTAAAAATACCGACGATTCGACGGTTGGAGATGTTGAGTAAGTATAGCTCACTCAAATCTTAAACGCAATGTAGTTTTTCCTCCTAACTTATAAGGCGTTTCAAATGTTTGTCGATTTGGGCCGAGACCATTGCTTTAATTGTGTCGATCCGGAGTCTACAGACGGTCAAACTGTTTTTGCATCTGCCGTACGTATTTTCACTGGTAAATTGAAGCTGACTTCAAAATATTACGCATGATTATTAAAAAAACAATTAAGGTGTTAATTGAAGGAATAGATAATAATTTTAACTAAGCATCTTAGTGGCTAAAGTTGGACATT